AGGTTGAAGGAGTGGAACTTGAACCAGATTTGATTTATTCCGAATATCCTATCCGAGTTTTGGATCAGAAAGATCGTGTTACTCGAAGGAGGACAATCAAGTTCTACAAGATACAATGGAATCAACATTCAGAAGAAGAAGCTACTTGTGAATTAGAAGATTACTTATTAGAAAAATTTCCAGAGTTTCTTGCATCGATATAGCATAATGTTAGTTTGCTCTGTTGTGGCGAACCCTGTTTGTAAAGGAACCTCAGCTGTTTTACGGATAAGTTTTGGATGTTTGTGGATTGACATATTTCCTTTTCCATTACTTACCCTATGGCTTTGAATCTCGGGACAAGATTTCTTTTAGGGGGAAGGATTGTAACACCCCGGGTGTTATAAATACTAAAACTGCCATGTCATCATATGCATTGCAAAGCATTTAGTTATATTGAAAACTTTGTTATGCATTCACTAAAACAAGTTTACAATTATGTTATAAGTGTTGCTTGGTATTGTTTGAATCAAGTTCTAAATCTTGGCATTTAATTGAAATTCCGAAAACCCTAATTTCAACATTTAAATTTCTACCCTGAAAACTTATTTCAAAATCTAAGCATATTTTGGGGTTGAGCCTTAAAGCATAAATGTAGAGCTTGTTGAGTTGTACAAAGTTTGTTTTTGGAGTTTTCAAAGTTGTTTAGAAAAAAATGAAGTAATTTGAAAAGGCAAAATTCTTTAAATGTCCCCTTTTTGAATTCAAATTTTCATTTCAAAATGTAGACCGAATTAGGGCGTGGTTATAAAAGAAAAGTTGTAGAACTTTTGATTTTGAACAACTTTTATTTTTGGAGATTTTTGAGTTGTTCTACAAAATTGGGAGTAATTTGGGATTTAAAACTAATGGCAATTTTGTAAATACTGTGAACAATGTTCGCCGCTTAAGCTACACCACCGGCGACCTTCTTCGGCGTTCCAGTCGCGCCTGTGGCGGCCTTGGCTTCACACTGGCGCGGTGAAGGCTTCCGCGTGGCTTCCTTGAGCTTCTGAGCCCCTCTATAAGGCCGAGACGCCATCGCCGTCGTTCTTTTCTTCTTCTCTGTTTTTTCTCGTCACCACCGCTCAACTCCGGCGAGTCCGTGTCGTCGCCGTAGTGCCTCTCCAGCTTCAGCAAAGCTTTCCACAGCTTCGCTTGCTCCTTGTGCACTCAGCCGACCTGCCATTGCAGCTTGATTTCGCCGGGAGTCACCGTTCATCGCTGTTCTTCTTCGCGGCCGGCAGCGTCGCCGTCGCGTTCGCCTCACCGTGGCCAGTGCTCCACAGTGTGTATCCGTCCTTGATTTGTAGCCCTTTAGCTTCACCGTGTTACTGTGGTCCTCTGTGACCTTTTGATTGAACCATTCCTCCACTGCAGTCACCAGGAGTCAAGCTTGCCATCGCCGCCGTTGCTATCACCGTCGTCTAAAGCCACCTTTGCTGCTCATCGTCTACTGCACGTTCTAACACGCTTGTGGTGAGCTTCTGTTGCTTCTCGAGTAGTTTTAGAGAGCTCTAGCAAGCTCTAGTTGCTTGAACGTTGCGGTGCCGCCGTGTCCTGCTCGGCCGAGCCGCCATGGCCGGCGTAGTGCTCGGTCCTGGCCGCGTTTGGTCTCGGTTGTGCCACCAATCGTTGCGCCTTGTTGTGATGATCATCGTAGTGCCTTTGTCTTCGCCGTTGGTCTCGCCGTCGGCGAGGAATCGCCGGTCAGCGCCGTCGCCACTGTAGTCAACGCGCGGAGGTGGGGGATGATAGGTGGGGTCACCTTGTCAATGACCGTGAGTTCAAAATGTGATTTTTCTATTTTCATAAATGAATGAATAGTGTATGCTTTTGTTATTTTTGTGTAGAATTATTTAAAGCTCCAAAAATTATGAAAATTTTTGTGTGACCTCTTTGTGATGTATATTATTTAATAAAAATATGAAACCTTGTTTTTCTATATCTACCTTGTTACCAGTTTTAATTTGTATCTGTCTAGTTATGCTTAGCTATGCTTAGAACGATGAAAGTCAAGTGATTACCTGTCACCTGCAAGTTTTAAATGGAACTTTGGTTACTTATGTTATCATGTGATATGGGAATGTGGAGTAATGAATCTAGACCGGGCGGACTCGGTGTGTGTGAGCCATAAGACATGGAGGTCTTGTGAGCGGGTTCTTTCCGCCTGTGTCGGTTAAGGTTTGTACCGTTGTTGAACTGTGTGCGGTGACACTTTGTAGTACTAACCACATACTCCGGTAAACCTTAACTTGGCGATTCTATTACGAGAATGGCTACTCACGCACTGAGAGTGGAGAGATGGCGGGAATAGCGTGTACCCACGTGGCAATGGGCTGGATTGGTGGAGTATTGTATTCTCAGGTGGTGCGGACCCATTCTTGTTTAGAGGATCCGAGGGTAGATTGGTATATGTAGGTCGGGGACCTGCATATGTCGTGTGGTCTGGAATTCCTAGCTGGGTTATAATCGGTTCGAATCATCGTTGCTCCTCGGTTATGGAGACTCACTTCTCTGTTCATCATCGTAGTTAATAACTAAAACTTGAGCTAGATTTGAGAAAGAGTTTGATATGAAGTTCATGATCTCATTACGGATCATGGCAGATTCATATATGGTTATTATGAAGTTTTAAATGTTGAAATGGAGAATCTTGTTAAAGAGCTTTTACGCAAAAGAACTTTGATTATTGTTAAAGCCATACTTTGAATACCTGAGCCTGCATTCCTGTGTCTTATCAGTTTTTATTTCGGTTAAGTCTTGTTGAGTACTTTTGTACTCAGGGTTCGTTGACCCTTGTTGCAGGTGAGGCTCATGAGCAGATCTGTTGTGGATCGTGCTGCATGACTGTTGTTCAATGCGATGACGATAAGTAATTGTGTGGCCCTTGGGCAGGGCAATATGTTTGTGTGTTCTGTAATATGTTATAATGCCACTCCACTACTGCGTTTTGTAATATTAATCGAACTTAGTTGTATGGTTTGAAACCAATGGTTTGTAAACTATGTTATTGTAAGTATTTCGCTACTTTTTACTCTGATGTATCTATTTGAATAAACTGTTGTAATACTGTAATGACTCTGTAATGTGATCCTACTCGGAAATCGTGGATGATTCGGGGTTCCCCGAGGACACCCGACAGTCTTCTTAAGTTATTAGGAACATATGCATAGTCGTCAGTGGTCATTGGACAGTGACAGTTGCATGTGGGCCCAATAATTTAGGAGGTTCTGCCACACTAATGTTGTGGTAGATGAGGATCAAATCTATGAGGCTTTTGGATTCAAGGCAGCAGATGAGGCTCCTGCAGATGAGGTTCCTATTCCTAACATACCTGCTGATGTGGAGGATGAAATGAATGAGGTAGCAATCCCTATTAATGATGACCTAGGAGATGAGCCAATGTTTGGTTGGGATAGAGACAACCCTGACATGAGTGTTGGGACACTGTATCCTTGCATGGATGATTTTAGGATGGCAGTTAAGCAGCATGCTAATGTGAATGAGTTTCAATTGAGGACAGAGAAGTCTGACAAGGAGAGGTTTAGGGGCCACTGCAGTTCCAAGGGCTGCCCATGGAAAATTAGAGCTAGGACATAGAAGGATGGCAGTGTTAGGGTACCAATACTAACACTTTTTTTGGTCCTTTTGATGTAACCTTATTTCTGATATTTGCATGTTGTATATGAATTTATCTTAACTATTTCTGACATTTCTTCATGTATGTGCAGATCCAAATCAATAAGGGTACCCACAAGTGTCCTTCAAAGAGTAGAGTTCTTGGGAGGATGGCATCCTAGAAGTGGATTGCTGAGAGGGCTATACCACTATTGAAGGATAATCCTGAGATGGGTCCCAAAGCTGTGAAGGAAGAGTTAGAGAAGAAGTACAACATAAAGATTCCATATCAGACTGCATTTTATGGGAGACAGAGGGCTGCAGATAAATTATTTGGTAAGTGGGATGATCGTTTTGATTATTTGTTTAGATTCAAGGCTGAGATTGAGCTTAGGTCTCCTGGTAGTGTAGTTGAGATAGATACAGTTACTGTGGAAGGCAAGGTACACTTCAGTAGATTTTTTTGTGCCTTCAAAGCAAGTATAGATGGATTTAGAGATGGTTGCAGACCCTATATTAGTGTAGATTCAACTGCTCTCAATGGTGAGTGGAATAGCCACATGCCTGCAGCCAATGCAATAGATGGCCACAATTGGTTGTACCCAATTGCTTTTGGCTTCTTTGATTCAGAGACCAAGGATAATTGGACTTGGTTCATGGAACAGTTAGGGAAAGCTTTAGGGCCAATGAACCACTTGGCTATAAGCACTGATGCCTGCAAAGGGCTAGAAGCAGCTGTGAAAAAGGTTTTCCCTAGAGCAGAGCAGAGAGAGCGTTTCAGGCATCTCATGGAAAATATGAAGAAAAGGTTTACAGGAAATGCCTATGCCAAGTACATATTGCCAGCAGTAAGGGCATGCACAGTAGAGAAGTTCAATAAATTGATGGACAAAGTTATTGAAGCCTATCCAGGAGTTGTTCCATGGTTGAAGGAACATCACAGTTTACTGTGGGCCAGGAGTGGATTCAAGGAAGAGATCAAGTGTGACTTCATAAATAACAATTTGGCTGAATCTTGGAATGCATAGATCCAAGCACATAAAGATCTACCATTAGACATTCTAGCTTATGCTATCAGGCACGGTACTTTTTGAGAAGAGAAGGAAGATATCCAAGGCCCTAAAAGGATTCATACTACCAGCAATAATTCATCAGCTAAATGCAGCCTCAAAAGGACTGAACCATCTGAAGGCAAGGGTGGACCCAACCAAGCAGAGGTGATAGTCATGTACAATGATGAAGTTATCAAGAGGCATGTTGTCTACCTAGACTAACATGAGTGTACATGCAGAGAGTGGCAAGTGAGTGGCAAGCCTTGTCCCCATGCACTGGCAGTCATAACAGCTAAAAGGCAGCCAAATATGGAGCAATATGTGGATGTGGCCTACTCAGTGCACAAGTTCCAAGCAGCATATGCAGGAATGATTCCTGTCATCACTTATAAGAGCCAGTGGTCGGTAGTTGAGAAGGGATTCAAGCTTCTTCCACCAATTGGGAAGAAAAGAGGACTTGGGAGGCAAAGGAAGAAGAGGGTTAAGGGATGCCTGGAGAGAAGTGGCAAAGCCACAAGGCAGGTTACTTGCAAGGGCTGTGGTGAATTAGGCCATAGAAGGACCAGTTGGAGGTGCCCACTAAGTGGCACCAAAAAAAGGTAACTTACTAACCTACCTTTGCTGAAATCCTTTCACCATTGTTAACTAATTTAATTAAATTGCAGGAAGATGACAAGAAAGACAAAGACCAAAAAGGGGCCAAAGAAGGGTGCTGACAAGGAGTATGAACCTGCTCCAGCTAGTGAACTGCAGCAGCAACACCTAAACCTTCACCAGCTCCACCAGCAGCAGCAGCACCTGAGCCTTCACCAGCTCCACCAGCAGTAGCAGCACCATCACCAAGGACTCTAAGAATAAGGGCAGCAATAGCAAGGGAAAGAGAGGCAGAGGAAGCAGTAGTAGCAGCAAGGTAAAATCTGAACCTAAATTATGACTCAGGAACTTGCCATCTCGACAACAGCTCACTAAACCACTTTCAAATGCAGGAGGTTGAACTTGGAAGCTCCACAATCCCTTGAAATGATCATTCTAGAGGTTGAATCTCTGCCAAACCCTGCACCAGCTAAGAAGATGACCCCTAGGAGGAAGCAGCTAGCCACAAAGGTGAAGAAGATGACCCCATGAATCCTTGTGATCCATATTTTGGGAACTTTGTTATGTCATTGAAAGGTGCACGAACAACTTGTTATGGTATTGTAAGTTGAATGGACAACTTGTAATGTATTGTCTTATAGGCCTGAACAACTTATGATGACTTTGCTAGGGTTGTGTCATGTATATAGACTGAACTTGCTATGTTTGTGTCATGTATGCAGACTGAACTTGCTATGGTTGTCAAGAGCATATCAGTGGTCTTGCCGTGATGATTTTTGGATATCATGTACAAGTGGAATAACAGAAACAATATTCCATTAACCATTCAACATTTTTACACATATATGCCCACTGATTGGTCAGACTCATACTGAAACACAGAGCTCATTACTCAACTAAGATACATCTTGAAGTAGTTCAACTAACAAACAAGGGAACTAACAACTAGTGAAACTAACAGAGAACTACTACATCACATACATAGCTCCAACCACTACACCAGCACCCATGACCACTACACCAGCACCCATGACCAAGCTCAAAGCCTTCACTGCGCCAACTAAAGTATCCAGCTTCACCTCCATTGAGTTCTTCTGCACGCGCACCAGTGCCCTTGAATCAACTTCTTCCTCTACTGCGCCATGTTGTTCTAGATTCATCACAATCTTCCCCTAGTCCACCAATATGGCCAGATACTCTCGCCGCCACTCAAAAAACCTACAAGATCCTAGAACCTAAACACATGAAAACATATTTTATGTGACAATTGATTCAAAACCCTAACAAATCAGAACCCAAAGAATATGGCTTACCCCTTGCATGTTCCTGGGACATTTGAAGAAGACACGACCCTTGTTGCATTTCTCATCTGTCTGGGCCACGAGCTCGAGCACCCTCTGCAGCCCACACTCCTCGCACATGATGAGGGGGAGCCCTGTCTGCCTCCCGAGTGGGTACTCCTCTATCCTATCCGGCAGCTACGGACGCCTATTGCGCGTTGATGAGCTCGCTCGACGGGACATGGCAGCTAGGGTTAGGGAGGGCAATGGAGAGGCGCGGCGACCAAGGACTGGGAGCCGAAGGAAGAAGGAGTGCGGAGAGAACAGGACCCGGAGAGAACCGTTGGGACTAAGCAGATGAGAGGAGACTGCGCTTGTTAAGCAATACACGGCGGGAGCAGAATGGTCTTTTGCCTTCGGTCTTCGAGCGTCAACAGCCCGTTCCTAAGCTAGCTGGCTGATCTAGCATGCCACGCCAAAAAAAAAAAATAGTAAAATATTAGATGAGTCATAGTTGCGACCGCAAAGAGCGACAAATAATTAGATGTACCCCTCGCCCCGCTCCGAATCAGCTCGAGGCAGCAGCTGCCCCGCAAAAACCCTAGCTTTACCTCCGCCCCGAGTCTCCCACCAAGCGGCTCCAAGATGAAGCTCGTCAGGTAAGCCATCATCCCCTTTTTCCCCTCTTTTTCCTCGATTCGGTTCACTCCGCTGATTCGTTTGGTGCAATTTTCGCCCGAATTGGTGCGGACTTGGGCCGGGGATTGCGCTTTTACAGGTTCTTGATGAAGCTGAACAACGAAACGGTGACCATCGAGCTCAAGAACGGCACCGTCGTACACGGAACCATTACCGGTATGACGTCCTGCGAGCTTTACCACTGTGGGAACTAGAGGGGCGGCCCTTTAGGTGTGCCGGCTTAGAAAGTAGCTTAATACTGTGTTTGTGGCTATAACCTTGGAACATGTGACTAACAGAGCCGATATATGATCTTTTACTGTCATCCAGTTTCCGCTTGGTCCAATTACAGTGGATTTTATTCATCTCTAGTATGCCCATATATTCGAGTTATTCCTTCCATATAGCATGCGACTTGCAGCATCATGTTTCCATTTTGTGTAATTCACTTTAATTTTTGCATTGCTACCAGTATTGGCGGTTAGAAATCTGATTTGAAGTGTTGGTCATTTTTATAGTTTCTAATGGTGGTTTCAATGGGTAATGTTGCTCCTGCATACAAAAATTATTCTTAAAGTGGGTAAAATTTTTAGGCGATTTTAGTCGTCAAATGTGGAAATGAAAGATTTCCAGATGCAACCTAAGCCAAATTTGAGTATAGTTTTCCAAGTTCCTTTTAAGTTAGGTGCTTGTGAAAATGGATGGTGAACCAAGCATTTATTTGTGCTTCACACACAGACCATGTTTACTTTTCTTGTAGGCGTCTTTTTTCCCCCCCGAGGGTTCAAAATTCTTTTTTTACTGACTTAATTAGTCTATACTAGTGCACTTTTGAACTTTGGATAGTAATTTTTTTTCATGTACTCATCATATGTTGGAATTTTCAAGAAATTCAATGCCTGCACTAGATACTATGGTATTTGATATAGGATATGTACATTGTCCTTTATGTATTGGATTAATCCTACTTAGCATTAATAGTCACAATGTAATGTTTCTTTCATAGGTTGTCCGATCGATTATGATTTACATGTACAGACAGCTAGGTTCAGGTAGTTAAGTATTTTTCATGGTGTTTAGAACTTACCATATGACACTGTAATTAACACCTAAGAGTAGAGAAGATTTATGTCATTTGTTTGTGATTTAAAAATTGTTCTTCTAATTTCACTCCTTACAAGAACTCCACAAATCTTAGATTTTGCTTCATTGGTAGCATCAGTTACGCCATACCAGTATAACTAAACATGGCAATCCCTACCAACATTAAAAAATCTGAAGCAGGGAGAATTTTGAAGTTTGATCTTGAGCTATTGTTGAATGTGTCTTACAGAATGTGTAGGAAATACTACTATGGCATTTAATTAGGTTAGTAAGCTGTCCAAGTACATATAGGCATAGGATATTTCAATGGTAGTTTATTTAGAAATTTGAATGTTGAAGTGACATGATTTTGCCAGCAAACAACAATGGCTAGTCTTTTAATCTTTTACTTACTAGCCTTTCATTTGTCGCCTATATCATTGCATATCTGTCAGCAGCTTTCGCATGATTTTTATTATAATCAGTTTTTAACATCCCATTAAAATTCTGTTCCATTCCCTCAGACTTTGCAGTAATCCTAGAAATAAGATTATTCAGTACTGTATTCTGAATTTATGATCACTTTGTAGGTGTTGACATCAGCATGAATACTCATCTGAAGACTGTAAAGCTGACGCTAAAAGGGAAAAATCCTGTTACCCTTGATCACCTTAGTGTGAGGGGAAACAACATCCGCTATTATATCCTTCCTGACAGCCTAAATCTGGAGACTTTGCTGGTTGAGGAAACACCAAGGGTCAAGCCTAAGAAGCCTACTTCTGGTCAGAGTTCCTTTTCTTATTCTCCCATTTCAACCTTTGAGCTACCTGCTAGAACTGTCATCTCATCCATCTTCATCCAAAACCAGGGAAGCCCTTGGGACGTGGGCGTGGCCGTGGTCGTGGGCGCGGTCGGGGTCGGGGACGCTGAGCATGCTAGCTGCTTTTGGAAATTGCACTGCGTGCATCTGCAGTGTAATCTACATTCCTATCAGTTGTACGGAGTTTGGAAATTGCACTGCAGGCATCTGCAGTGTAATCTACATTCCTATCAGTTGTACGGAGTATGCCTTTGATTACGGCAACCATAGTAGTGTCAGTTGTTTTTGCTGTGGATTCTTGTTGATGAGGTTACAATGTGATCATATGTTCTTTCCCTAGAACTCCTATGGATGACCACTAAATGCTATCTTTATTAAGCATGTCAATGATGGTGAACAGAAAAGGTTGCACTATTCTCTAATCGCAGATGTTCTATGCCTTACATTCCCAATGTATTTGACATTATCAGCGCCGAGATCATTCTCTAGTCAGCCATACTTGTGGCAATTCTGAAGGAAATGCAAATGTCATGATCTTTGTTTTCTTTAAAGATTCTTGTGAGAATCCAGTGATGCAATCAGGGAGATTACCCAGTCGCCATAAGCAACACCTGACTTCTTTTTTTGTTGTTGAAAAAAGACACTGAAAAGAGTGCCTTATATCTGATATTGATCAAGGAAAACAATAGACTTTTCCACAGCGATAGGCAGCAGAGTAACAACACTGGCCACACAAGCATATTCACATTTTTAACAAATGAAAATACTGTAATAAAGCCGATCGCAGTTTGGCTACAGAAGACAGCCCATGGAGCAGTAATAATCGTGAATGATTGCCTTTACAGAATCCAGTACTGCAATCAGGGAGAGATTGTCCAGCAAGATCTATGCCTCGGGTTGTAGCTATAAGCACCACCAAATTTCATCGTAGCGATAGGGTTGCAGGGAAAGAACATGACTTGCGAGAGAAGCATATATACATTTTGAACAAATGAATACCATAAAACTGATTTCAATTTGGATACAGAAGACACATAGGGTAGTAATCGTGAATGATTGGCTTTACAGAAAGATTGCACAAGTAGAAACGACAGCTAACACTGAAGATGGTTTGTTCATGGATTGAAACGTGATGGCTGAAAGAACAAATCATCCAGGGCCAGCTATAGGCAAACATCAAGATACTGCCGGGAGAACCTTGTGCAATTGTATGACTTGCTGCCACCACTCAACTGCAGCAGCCACCAGCCTGAGAGGACGAGCCAGCACCACCTCCAGATGAGTTGGGAACAACGTAGCCAACTTTGATCCCGTTGGACTGTAACATTTAGGGAAAACATTATATATAATGCAAAACATATAAAAGATTACGATGCTCATCAACACACGCAGAAAAAAGGAATAGTACGGTACCATCCTGCACCTGGATACTTCATGCAAAAGACATGTACCTCTTTCACATTGAAGAAAGAATTTCTCCACCCCAAAACCGTAAAAGAATATCAAATGTTGGTTTCATGTAGTATTTTACAATCTATATCATATCAATACCATCATCGAAAAAAAAACCTTAAAAGGACGTCTATCATTACACATTCACACTCATATAAAACAAATAATGTAAGACTACCCTTTCAATCATTAGCTTTGATTCGGATTAGAGATTCCATAACCATACTTCCTACTGTTAAGTAGTAAGTAGAAAAGGTTTGAACTGGAAGAGTAGTAATGTTTCCCCCCTTTTTCTGCACCAAAAAATCTTCCCGAAGCTGAGGTTTTGGGAATCCTAAACAAAATACTACGAAGTACTCCCTCTGTTCTAAATTATAAGTCGCTTTGAGTTTTTTGATACATCCATCATATCAAATTCTATTGTATCAAAAAAAGTCAAAATGACTTATAATTTGGAACGGAGGGAGTACATAACATCATATGGTTCATATGGTAGTTCAATTGGTCTTGAATGTACAAGTAAGCAAATGCATCAGATAGGCCTCAAACATTTTTAATCATACATGTTTCTAGAAAGACGAAAGGATTTGGGGGTAGTGAAAAAGTGCAAGACTGAGTTTTTTTTTAAAGTTTTGTGCAAAAATGTGACTCGAATGACAGTTCTATTCTTTTGTTGATTTTTACGATTTCTAGTGGCAAGTTTGCAATAATCATGCAAACCGGTGGCAAGTTTAAGACCAATCCCGCATTAAATGAATTATTACTGTAAAGTGTAAGAGGTTTTTTTTAGTTTTGTGCAAAAAATGTGACTCAAATGACAGTTTTATTTCTTTTGTTGATTTTTACAATTTCTAGTGGCAAGTTTGCAATAATCATGCAAACCGGTGGCAAGTTTAAGACCAATCCCGCATTAATGAATTATTACTGTGGTATAAACTTGCGATCTCAGTAATTACCAATGCTTAGCACAACCTTGAACAAACACTTGAAAAAGGAAAGGAAGTTACTAAAGACTAACCTCATTTGATACATCAAATATGCCATCTTGGATTTTCTTGTATATTGTACCAGCGGTCTTAATGAACGCCTACATCAGAAAAAGATGTTAAAATGGTTAGAAAACACACTAGTGGGCAATAGCAGTAAACATGTAGTAGGGTAAAAATTTCACCTCCTCAACATTTTGTGCAGTTTTGGCAGATGCCTCCATAAAGACCAGACCATGCTCCTTGGCAAACTGTTCGCCTTCCTCATAGCTGACAGCACGTCTATGAGAAAGATCACATTTGTTTCCAATCAGCATCACTGTCATGTTAGCATTTGCATGCTGCCTGGCATCTTCTAGCCAACTTGCGAGATGATTGAAGGTCTCCCTCCTGAAGTCCGGTAACAAAAGAATTATCAGTGATTGTAAATGCCGAAATAAGATATATATAACCAAAAAACCATATAAGTAGTGAGTACCTAGTGATATCATAAACCAAGAGGGCACCAGCAGCACCTCTGTAGTATGACCTAGTAATAGATCTGAATGATTCTTGGCCCGCCTGAAATTCAAGTCATAATCAAATGAGAATATAGAGCTTTATGACTTCAGACTCAACAAAATAGTAATGAATGTGTTGCAGTTGTAGTTAATAAAACCATACTCCTAAGCAAATAAACAAAAGGCAACATGAACATACCACATGATGAAGAAACCAAACAATTATAAAGATAAACAGATTCTGAAACTCGAAGTTAGGTGGGAAATGGCAATAAAAAAGGCTTTACATGTTACAATACCCTGGTTACAAGTTTTAAATAAATTCTTGAAAAAATGTAGCCAGACCATGGGAGCAATTACCAAAGGTTTGCAACAGAAGTGTTGCAATTACATATAGTTGAGATAAATACAGGTGCAATTGTCTAAGAGGAGATATTTCTTACATCACTATATAACTTTACTAAGTTTATTGATAAGTACGAATAACATCAGGCAAGACTACGCTTCTTTTGGTACTACCAGTAGTATTCCATACGGAAACAAGGACTAATAACATATAATCAAAACATACTTGTTAGCTTGTTGGGGTCCGGTGGTATTTCGCTACCTCGACAGACAGTGGCGAAGCATGGCCCATGAATTAGGGCTCAATTGCTTACTTCAGCATCAAATCATGGTGAGATGTTAAATAGACATGTAGTTTAGACTTCTAGGGATTTATGGGTCACTGAATTTCTGTCAAGCAAGGGGGGGCTGAGGCCCAGTTTGGCCTCCACTACCCTCCACCCCTGTCGACAGATGCTGATTGATTTGATAGTGGTAGCCTAAGTTTGGGATATTTTTGTAAACCAGCAGTATGTCCGAGACATGCATACAACCTTATTCGCTTTCTATAAAAGCAGGGTATCCTACTTGAAAAGGGAAAATTGACAAGAGTCTGCAAAAGGATACACAATTTTGCACAGAGTGGCTGGATGTTGCAGAACTGCAGAGTCCATGTGATTCCAAAATTGCAACATTATCAAGTCAGTACAGCAAACACCAAGAGGAACATGAGTACCATCGGCAATTAAGGATCCCAATGTCCAACTCAACTGCCTTGTTTATGAATTATTTTGAAATTCCTACAACAACCGTTGCTTAAAATTGCTAACCTCGCACACAGCCTAAACGACACCACGAAGAGGACAGGAAAAAAAAAAGAACGGAAGGGAGGAGCAGGACGGACCGTGTCCCAAATCTGGAGCTTGATGGGCTTATTGTCGATGGTGATCATGCGGGCGCCGAATTCGACGCCGATGGTGAGGTCGTGCACGGGCTGGAAGCGCTTGTCCGTGAACTGCAGCAGCAGGCACGACTTCCCCACGCCTGCAACACAAACAAACAAACAGCCAACCAACCGATCAATCGCCGCTCGAATCTACCGACACCGACGACCACACGTCCACACGACACCCGAGCAGCAGATCCCCAGCCGCGTGGATCCAATCCAATCTCCCCCGCGCGGAGCAGGGCGGCGGGGATCAGGGGAGCAGCGGGTTCAGAAGCGAGGGGGCGACGGACCTGTGTCGCCGATGATGATGTACTTGAAGAGATAGGCGTACGACATCCTCGATCGATAGGATCAGGTCGGTCGGTCCCGGGGGCGGCGGCAGTCCTAGGCGGCGAGTTCCGGAGGATTCGGTTCGATCCTGCGTCGTTGGGGAGTTGGGGTGGGGGTTGTCAAGGCCGAACGGGAACGGGAACGGGGCTAACGAAACGTAACTGACGCGACAGCTAATGGCGACGCGTCCCGTCCCAGCGCTCCCAATCAGGATTCCAACGGAGCGCCTCGCTGGCTGGCCGGTGGGCCAGCGCGCGGCGCGCGGCGCGGTTTTGCCAGCCTTCGTACCCAAGGCTGTCTCCGACGTGAAACCATCGCGGAACTCAAACTCAAAGTAAAAAAATAGGTGTTCTGTAGCCTTAATAAAATATCTATATAAAAGAACTATTTTAAATATTATGACATATATAATCTAAGGTCTCGTTTGGCAGGGCTTTACTTCTCTAGTGAAGTTTTTTTTTTTTGACTTCAGCTCTACGAACAGTTACACCGATGGAGCTGAAGCGGTTTTGGTAAACCGTTTGACAAAATGGCTTCCCTGTGAGTATGTTTTTAGGGGTCCGGAGGAGGAGCCTGGAGAAACCACTTTTTTTTGCTCCATCCCACTCCAAATCACTGTGAGAGTATGTTTTTAGGGGCTTCACAAGTGAAGCTATTTTATTTTACCCCGTTTGGTAGAAAACGGCTCCAAACGGCTCCTGAAGCCGGTGGAGAAGCCCTGCCAAACGAGGTCTAAATCTAAGTATCCTCTCTTCTATAGACCCATTTATAGAAATGGTTGTTTTTTTGTTTTGTTGTTGGAGAAGACCAAAAATAGATATTGAACTCTTTGACTGTAGCGCTACCCAAATGATAAATGAGTCTTGTATTTTGGGTCGCGGTTGTTGAAGACGATCTAAGGAATTAATGTATGCCTGTATGCGATCCTGTCCCAGTGCGGCGCGGTTATTAGATTGTGATGTGTTTTTTTTTTCATTTCTTCATTCCAGGTGCATGAATTTTATGATGATTTCACATAATACTCATGTATCACCAATTAGTACAAGTAAATTATTATTTTTATAATTTGTTATTTGTCCTTATGTTATAACATATTTTTTTGTCTTTGTCTAGATATACAAACAATTATAAATTGTTAATTATCTTTGTCAGGTTTGTGGTTTTGTCTAACGGATTTTTTATTCTCAGAACTGAAAATTGCAGTTTGTGCCTACAGAATTACAACGAACTAAACTTGCAATTTTAATATGATTATATGGAATAACCGTCGCCTTGAAAAAAAGCTAAAACTCAGACACCTGAATTTTAGCAAATCTTTTTTTATATATAATTGCACCAAACAAGTGAATGGACATTCACCAGCACATACTTCTTATAATCTTATATGAACACAATGAAGAATAGCATTTTGAGATTGACGAAAGTTACCATAATCTCGCTACATCGTCTATATTTCAAAAGATGGTCGTTTCTTTCGAGAATAAATATCGCTACTCCATTGCATAATAATCTCTGCAAGACACAACATAAGCATATTCTATCACTAATATAATCAATTCTTAGCATTGTGCTAACTGGGAGCTCTCAAATGTAAGTAAACACGTCCCCTCTAACTTTAGCCACCTTCAACAATATCCACAAGGCCCAATCAATAATATCCACAAGGCCTGGCGTGAGGTATGAACAACTCCAACACATATAACTAGCCGTTGCACTTACTGGCACAAAAATAATATCATTGTGTGTACTAATGTGTCTTCACTAAAGCACATGGGTATAGTCAAGCTAACATTTAGAAATGCTATTGAACCCTCGACAACATCTTTATGCAATCTTCTCAAAAAGTACATGGGCATAAAGTGTCTAAGCAATCTTCTACTATGGAATTGCACCGGTAAGCATCTTCCTCATAACTAGTGTAGGATGATGCCCTTGTCAATGTTCCGGTGAAACATTTGGCACGCATTGCTTGTGCAATTGAAAATAAGAAATGGAAATTTTGCCATTAGAAAACCTAATTTGGATGGTAATGGCCTGCAACACCAAAATTTATAAAGGTACTGTTACAAAATAACGGTTGTTTGCCATGAGACCACACCCATTAAAATATTAATTTTCAAATCTCGAAGAAAGAAAGTTTAACACCCTAAATTTAATTTTGCAATAACTAAAATTTTTGTTATGAGTTAAATAGAGACAACACCTAATTATTAGAAGGAGGAAAATAGCATGTCATAAAATAAATTAAAGACAATATGTTATGAAGTTGTTGCATTCATGCCCTCATGCATTGTGTTTTATTGGATGTGAAAATGATTTAAAAATGCATTTGAATAAAAAGGATTTAAAATATATTTCAAAAACATGCTCGCAAAAAAATCAAAAGTTCCTAATGTTGTTTTGGCCCAAACTCCTCTTTTCCATCCCCCTTCCTTTCTTTTTTGGCTAGCCCATCATCCTAACTCTAATCAAACCTAAGAGTTTTGGTGACTATGTGAGTATAGGAATAAATGGATGAAAAATGGGCCAGATCGGAGGTCAAGTGACCTAACCCTAGGTCGACTGACTCCCCATCTACCCACCAATGCATCCCATGCGAAGCAAACACACTTGGAAGTCATCCTACACTTTGGTTCAACGTCGGTTTAAACCGAGGGATGAGATGAATCCAAAGGAAAGCACCAGGATTCATGGGCCCATCCAATAGGTCCAATCCAATACTCTGTAGTCAAAGTTTTTTCCATTTAAGATCACTTAGTGGCTAAAATATCCAATACAAGGTTATGGGATGCTATATTAACATTTCTTAATCTTGTACGAACATTTCACGGACATCCTCTACGTCATACGCCAATAAATGAAAGAAGTCTTGGGGCCAAGACACTTGTGGCTATTTTTATGGTGTCGGTGCAAAAAGTGACCAACAAGTAAATATTTGTAGTTTTCCCGTACGTTGTGATCGGATGTGGCCTAGCACTCAATGACACAGGGTTTATACTGATTCAGGCAACATGCCCTACGTCTAGTTCCAGTCGGTCGAAGACTTTATTCCTGAGCCCAGGTGCTCGAAGTTTGCTGTGGGGTTACAAATGAATAGGAGTAAGAAGGGGGGTGTCGAAGGTTCGGTCGGACTCTGAACCGAAGGGCTAAGAGTGACGGGAGCTCCAACGTGCACTAAGTATTGGAATATTTGCTCTGTGTAGCTTTAGGGTTCTAGAGCAGTGAGGCTGCTCGAGTGCTCAGAATGTCTAAAGCTTAGCCGAGAGAGAGTCGGAATCATCATCCTCAATTGGGAGAGAGCGCATACCCTTTTATAGGTGAAGGAGATGGCCTTACAAGTGAGAGAGAGTGTGTGTGTGCTACCTAGTCTTGTTGCCCACGCCGTCGGGTACAAGACGGTTTGTCGGTGCCCATAATATTGTTGATGCCCAGATGCATGTGGCAGGCTCCATCATGTTCTTATGGTATAGCAAATGTCGGCGCCTACCATACTGTAGGACAAATATCGGCGCCCACAACAATGTTCGTGTTCTGATATGTCTAGAAGGTTGTAAAGCACCCTTCTGACATGGTCTGGCGGTACTATCCTGCAGGTGTGCAGGATATGATCCTTGGTATTGCGGTTGACTTTGAGCGTCTTGCCTTATCTGCTCCGCCTGATTCTTGGGTCCTTACCAAGCTGGCGTCCCCGGTCGGTCGTTCCCAGTCAGCTCCGACCGTCTGTTGGGCTGTGCTTTTGCTGGAAAGCGGGCCCATTGGGGACCCTAGGTTTATGAATCCGACAGGAGCCCCCGAGCCCCCAAGCCCCCGAGCCCCGGGCGATTCGGGTAGAATCGCCTGTTTTTTTTGTTTTGCCAGCGGGTGCGCGCGAGCGCACCCAGTGGGTGTAGCCCCCGAGCGATTTGGGTAGAATAGCCTGAGGGAATTTTTGTTTTGCCAGTGGGTGCGCGCGAGCGCACCCAGTGGGTGTAGCCCCCGAGCCCCCAAGTGATTTAGGTAGAATCGTCTGGTTTTTTTACCTGCCAGTGGGTGCGTGCGAGCGCACCTTGGTGGGCGTAGCCTCTGAGTGAGATCTGACCCCTTGCCATGGCTGGGGTCAGGTGTCACCAAAGATCGAGGAGAGGATAGCGAAACTAGTAGGAGAAAATGTCTCTTGTTTTTTGCACGTACCCTCTTTCTAGGTTCTAAGCCATCGTTTCTAGGAGCACAGACCCAGGCGTCGGGCGTGGCTGAGGGATCAGGCGAGACAGAGTCACAGACCCAGGCGTTGGGCGTGGCCATCGGGCGTGCCGAGGGGTTGGGCGAGACGGAGTCATGGACCCAGGCATCGGGCGCGGCCGTCGGGTGCGCCGATGTGTTGGGCGAGATGGAGTCGTGGACCTAGGCGTCGGGCGCGACCAAGGGGTTGGGCGAGACGGAGTCGTGGACCCAAGCATCGAGCGCAGCCGAGGGATCGAGCAAGACAGAGTCATAGACCCAAGCGTTGGGCGCGCCGAGGGGTTGGGCGAGATAGAGTCACCAACCAAGGCATCAGGCGCGCTGAGGGGTCGGGCGAGATGGAGTCGCTAACCTAGGCGTCGGGCGCGCTGAGGGGTTGGGTGAGACAGAGTCACCAACCAAGGCATCGGGCGCGCCAATGGGTCAGGCGAGACGGAGTCGCCTAACCAAGGTGCCAACCAAGGCGTCGTGCGCGCTAAGGGGTCGGCGTGCCGAGGGATTGGGCGAGACAGAGTCGCCTAACCAAGGTGCCAACCAAGGCGTTGGGCGTGGCCATCGGGTGCGTCGAGGGGCCGGGCGACCCGAGCCTCTGAGCCCCGTTGGGCTCGGTAGGGGTTGGTCGAGTTTCATGCGTTACCCTGTCCGCGGTTTTCACAACCGGTGGGGTTGAGCTGACGTCGCTTGCCTCGATGGCTCGAGTGACGCGCTCGGTGAGCTCTCTAACGGGTATGTCAAGTGGAATCTAGGTCCATTGTTCATAACGAGGTCGACATAGCTCTCATGTGGCA